ATTCTTGAAAGTGCGGCCTGAATTTCCACGTAACTTTAGCATCTCAACCTAAATGTAACAAAAGGCATGTCGAGGGTGCAAATTACGACACCAGACTTAGCGCTGACGAGATAAAATTAATCGCCTTCGGCGAGTCGAGATTAAGCCAGATTTTGGCAAAAAGAGACGCTGGGTACGCTCAGATATAAGGCTTCTTTGGTTTATGTCGGAAGAGGTTATTCGTGGCACTGATTAAATTTCTTGCGGGTGTCGGTATCACATCCGTTAATTGTAATAGATAGAGAATAGTTCAAACTGTATTTTTAGGGTTCCGTAGCCAAATGGTAAAACTAAGACTCCGCTGTCTGTCTGTCAGAAGGCTGTATCTCATGAACCGTGATAAGTGGACAGTTTAAATGTGCAAAATACTTTTTTTTTCAGGTTTTATAGATAATTAATGATACGGAACCTTCGTGCACGAGTCCGACTTGCACTTGGCCAGTTTTTTTTAAGTTCATAAAAACTTACAATCATCTGATGATGATTGAGATAAAATGATTTTTACACTCCATAATATAGTATAATAAGTTCATTATAGTTTGATCCAATTCAACTGCAGCTATTATGTAGCATTTTATCGCACAAATATTAAATATGGATGTTTAAGTTTTTTTTTTTTTAATTATGAACCTAAAACAATAAATAAAGTGTTATTAATCTCAAGTTTTTTACGGTGGTAGGGCCACGCAGCAGCCTCGGCTGTTGCACGAATGGGCAGGCCCGTCCGGGTAAGTACCACGACCTCACAGAAGACCGGCGTAAAGTGGAAGTATGACAAATACTTTCGCGTTTCGTCTGGTGAGTGAGGTAGCCGGAGCCCAATTTTCAAAAGGTTGTCAACGCATCTGTAACCCTCGAGTGTAGCAGATGTCCATGGGCGGCGGTATTCACTTAACATCAGGTGAACCGTCTGCTCGTTTGACAACTTTTCGCATAAAAAAAAAAAAAAAAAAAAAAGTTGCACCCAAATCGGTCAAGGAGTTTCCGAGTTTAGCACGCAGACAAAAATTTTAAAAATCATTGTTATGGGTTCTATTGCGTTAATAGTTTAGTTAAAAGCCCCCAATAAATGTATTCTCAAATATCTTCCATGTACAGACAACGATCAGTTACCTACATTTTTATTATAGGTATGTAGAAACGTTGCACCAACTAAGTTATGTGGAGCTCTCTTCTATTTGCTACTAATCCTAACTTTAATGATGTTATTTGTATTTATTCCCTAGGTCCACCCAATCATCGCTATCTCTCTGGGTTATAATAGACATTTTATATCTTTTTACGTAGTTAGTTGCTTCGGGTTTTGAAGAAATGATTCGTAATTTTAGTCGTAATTAATTCGTCTATAACAACTCTCTCCCCATAATGGACCTAATGGCTAAATCACTGAATCAATTAAATATCTGATCTGTCAAAATAACGATTTTTCTAATTAACCCTCATTAACGTCTAACGTTCTGACGTTAGACCAATCAACAACTCTGGTTAACCTGGGCTACAATTCAATTGTAATCGTTGTTTTTTATTTTATTTCGACCTACGCACGTTGAAATCTCTTTGCGTGTCCCACTTGAATGTTGCATATAATCTGTGACCTAATGGAATTCCGCCGAATCCTTCAGCAGTTTTGCAGGGTCGAATCCAATTAGCGTGCACCGATGCTACGTCAGAGTTAAATTGGGTACACGTATTGAAATCGTGCAAGGTACATGACTGAAAGACGAAGAAAGTATATAAGAGAACCAACAGTTTCGAGAGGCACGAAAAATTTAAGTTCATCGTGTTAACATAATTATTATTAAACTGTGGTAGTGCCACATAACGGTTCGCTGTTGCGCGTAAAAGGCGAGCGTGAAGTGGAAGTTTTATACTTCTGCGTTTTGTCTGGTGAGGTAGCCGGGTCCACCTTATTAAAAGGTGGCGACGCATTTTCAACACTACGGGAGTTACGTTACGTTACGTTACGGGAGCGGTTATCACTTAACACCAGGCGCACTGGCAGCTCGCTTTCCATCTTGTTAAATAAAAAAAGTATGCCAACGGATCGGTCAAATAAAACAACTAGACTGTGATCTACATTTATTGTATGTCACAACATATAAAACATAGATTAACAACAATATACAATATTCATCAATATGCTTACAGCTAGTGTAACGGAGGACTAGCTATCGGTAGGACTCTCGCTGTCTTCACAACTGTCGCACTGTATGAATAATAGAAGACCCAAAGACTAGAATTCGGAGCAACACAAAACAACGAAATTGCGCAACTTGAGTAATTGAATTTTGTGCAATACGTTCGTACGAAATAACTTTATTAAGTATTAGTGTATTATTACTTTCCAATCAAATAGAAAATTTCGTGTTTTTATATATCAGAAATATATCCGAATAACAAAAAAGTTACCGACCCCTGCTTTATACTGCATAATTCACGTTAGCAAAAAAACTTGCACAAATCTAACTACAAGATAGGAATTGCTTGCGGAACTTTCTGGAAATAGGATGTATGTGTATTACATGTCAATTTGTAACCATGAATATAATATAGAAGTTTTTCAATAATGGATTGTTCTCCAGTTCAGACTTCGCGTTAAAGGAAGTTTTAAATGTTTATATGACATAATTATTCATCATTAAATGAAAACGCAGCTAAGAATTTCATTTTGGATACATATTGTATGAAGGGTTCATTTCATAAGTTTTTCTTCCTAAATTAGAGCCCATGTCGCCTCCAAGATAGTTGGGGTTCAAAACAGGCCAATGCTGGGCCTAGATGGCGCTAGCAGTCTCTGAGACAGGAGAGCCCTGTGGGTCGAACTTACTCAGTTTAAAGCTATCAACATTGTCGACGCACATAGAGCTGTATTTATACTTTATAACCCGCGAAAGGCTTACCATTTACCTTATCTTTGATCGAATAGGGTCACGGTCTTGAAAGCAGCGTCGCTCAATCGTTTGTCCTTAATTTCTATGACAAATTTCCAATTTTTAAAGCACTCCGAAGCATCCACAGACGGAGAATGGACCATTTCTCACGTCTAAATGTTTCAGCCAATGAGGGTTTCGAATATTACTTCGTTGGTCCAAAATCGCTTACCGTCCGCTCCAAAGTTGCTCCATTAAACGACGCGTACCTATTCGAGTAAATTTAACAATCCAAACACTGCAAACGCACAGACCTAGAAGCTAAACAGCCTTTGTGATACTTGTTACAAATGCTACTTTGTCTATGACACGAGTAAACTATACGGACATTGCGCTCTACTAAACTGACGTTATGCGGTTAAATCTTGAAGTAATCTCGAACACGATTGTAAATGGCGCAGGACTGCCACAAGTAATGGATCGAGCCTGATCAACAGTAAGTTGTCGCTTTTCCAATTTTATAGTATTGTATAAAGTCATTGAGATTTAACTTGGAAAAGTAACGACAATGCTATTCAGCATTATAAATAATTGAAGTATCTGAGATGGGGCCCTTTATTATTTGATTGATTCAAATATCAAGAGTTATAGGCAGTTTGCACAAGTCTTGCAGCAGTCGTTATACGGAAAATAAGTCTCTATTCACACTAAGACGATAACGGCCGATTTGAATCAGAATTGTGTAAGACGAACAAAAATCGTCATCAAGCGATTTTATGTGCTAAAACAATGAAAATAAAGTTTAAAATGCTGTATCAGACTACCGTTGCCGTTTACGTGTGAACAGAGCCTAAGAGGCGTATCTAAGAGTTGACTACCCCTGGTCCATGCTTACGTACTACATAGGCCTAAATTAGTTACCGGGAATCTTACATATCTAACGTTCAATTCCGTTTCTTTGCTCTTGAACATTTGGTTGACAAGCGTTAGGACTCTAGACAAAGGGGCTACAGGAAATTAAAGACGATACGTCACAATTTGCGCGGATAGAAAACATATCTTTGGTTAAATTTTAAATCCTTGGCGTTGCAACATTTTGGACATTCCATTTCTTGAGAAATAACGTTCCGAAATAATCTCTGTGAAATTCAACTTCACTGGAATACCTACCTACGCTTTAAAAACTTACAATTTACGGGGTTTTTGATTTACATCTGTTTCGATTCATTTTATTCTTACCCTTATACAATAAATTTTTGGTATTTATTTTGGATGAAACGAAACGAAATATATAACTTAAAACTATATCATCATCATCATCATCATCATTTCAGCCTGTTTGAGTCCACTGCTGAACATAGGCCTCCCCCACAGACTGCCACGAAGTACGATCCTGAGCCACCTGCATCCATCGACTTCCCGCACATTTGCACAGGTCGTCACTCCATCTAGTGGGGGGTCGTCCTACACTGCGATGGCCAGTACGAGGCTGCCACTCGAGAACCTTTCTTCAAAACTATATTATATCTAAGTAAATAAATAAGCGAAATACTGCAAAATTATATAAACAATAATAAGTGCTTGTTAAATAATAACATTTGTGTGATGCATAATATTAGTCATTTGTGAACAGTATTGAACTTTGTGTATGGTAGAAATAAGACAGTAAATTGCCAACAGTCTAAAAGCTACCTAAAGCACAACAATAAACATTTATCATAATTTTGAACGCTCATAGACTAAATGAGGCCGGACGTTTGTGTTAGCACACCGGCAAAGCTGATCATTCGGACACAGATAACTAATAAACTCTTGTGTCATTTATGCCACAGTTCAAATAATACTTCAATATAACACTAATTTGCGACCAAAGTCGTATAGCGATACTGCAATGGAACCTTTATTCGAAAGTCGACTGTACTGGCAACTAATTCGTGAAAATTAGTCTGGTACATCACAGATTCAAAGTTCTACGGTATCAGAAAGCTGATTTCCACCTTTTAATTTTTGTGATGACAACATCACAATGGCTCGAGGGTGTGGAACGAATGGGTATTGGGACGAGGTCGTGGGTGTGAGTGCACCGCCTCAGAGGAGGGCGCAGCGGCCGAAGAAGCGGCGGCGGCGGCGCTGCTTCTCCTCTCGCTGCGGATGCTTGCGGATGATGCGCACCAGCTGCAGCGAAAGGGGCCGCGTGAGAGCGTCGCACAGTGGGAGAGAGAGAGGGGGTGAGGAGCGAGGCGCGCGGAAGGCCCACCTCGTGGAAGGCGGCGTCCACGTTGAGCGGCGGCTCCTTGGCGCTGGTCTCGATGTAGGGCGCGGCGAGGGCGCGCGCCAGCTCGCGGCCCGCCTCCTCGCTCACGGCGCGCGCGTGCACCAGGTCCACCTTGTTGGCCGCCACCAGCATCGGGTACGAGTCGCTGCGCCCAAATCGAACGATCTATGTTAATGTACAAATACATACGATGCGGTTGTACTAGTCAGATTGTGTTCTCATTTAAATACTCACAAATATTATACACAAATCTTTAACGGCACAAACCATACAGTACTGGCGCACCGGATGAATGTTTAATTATTACATACTTTTTCTAATCATTATTTGAAAGTGATCGATTCATTTCCAATGTTTCATGATTTAAATACTCAGTAAAATTATGCACAAACCTTTAACGCACAAACATTCCTATACAAGTTTTTTTTTTTAATTTAGCAAATGATTCCTTTTGAACTGCTGAATGGGAAACATTAAGAGACATTTCTGTAGAGGCAAATCGGAGGAAGTAAGAGTAGGATGAATAACTGAGGCATGGGTAGAATGAATTTTAGTTGAAGCAAAAAGGTGGTATTTACAGTGACGGCCTGTGCATGTGTGGATAGGTCAATGGATGCAGTGGACTTAGGCTGAAATGCTTATGATGATGATTTGCAAGCGGAGCCGAGAGCATCACTGGAGCGGTGCGACAAGTAGGCGCTACGGCGAGACGTAGCTGGCGCACCGACCGGTCCTTGACGCGCAGGATCTGCGTGTGGAAGTGGCGAATGTTCTCGTAGCTCTGCATGTCGGTGACCGAGTAGACCAGGAGGAAGCCGTCGCCCTTGCGCATGTACTGCTCGCGCATCGCGCTGAACTCCTCCTGGCCGGCGGTGTCCAGCACTGGGGACGTGGCGAGTTGCGTTACCGTGGCGCAACGGGCTGGGTACGTCATAATGTCAGACCGAATCAGGTGGGAAATCTTGCATTCTAAACTAGCCATTTATTTGCTACGTAGTTCTAATTTAGGAAATACAAACTGTGTATTAAACACATGCAATTTAAAGATGAATAAAATAAATGTATCAAGAAGAGGTCAGTTGACGCGCGTACATTCAATAATGTGGTAATATGATATCACGGCATGAAAGCCACTCGCTGTCAGTTGTGATAAGATAGAGTCCCTCACTTTTCACTTATTCAATATATTGTGAATATTCTTTTATTTTAGTTACATTTTTACCTAATTGCGGCGAAACCAAAAAAGGAGGTTATATGTTTGACCTGTATGTACTAGTGTTCCCTAGTAACTAATAATTGATAAATATTTAGACATTATATTTCATGTCACTGGATAAACTTAAAATAATAAATCAAAGTGGCGAATTTTTGTCGCCAAAATATGTTTGAAAATTGTTTTTTCTGACCTCAGATGGATTTATGTTATTCCAATTATTGACTTGTTATATATTTGATTTCTGTCATAAATATGATATTTAAAACATTTGAATTGATCTACAATACTCTTCCTTCTCTGTATTTAATTAATCGAAAATGAACCTGAGGTTGTGATCAGACCCTGTTAACTTCGGAACTTAATAAACGAAATCAAAATTTCTCTATCTACATCGGCACCAACTGAACGTGTGAAAAGAATACTACCGTCTAGTATGCACCACTGCCCGTCCACTTCAGTGTGTTGTATGTAGGAGTCCTCGATGGTTGGGTCGTAGTCCGTGACAAACAGCTTCTGGAAGAACTGGATGGTGATGGCGCTCTTCCCCACGCCACCGTCACCCACCACAACCAGTTTCACCTGGAAGCATCATTGATAAAATTTCAAGTGTAGTTGATACTATGATATGCTATGGTCTAATGATTACATCACTAATGTAATAGTAAAATATTCTTATATTTTACACATGCAGAGCATTATGGAACCAAACTTCAAACTTTCAACCAAAATAAAGGTTTAAATAAAGAGTTAACTTTTCATAACAGAAATGAAAAATTTGCGAGCAGTTCACCAAAAGGTAAGCCTGGTAATTATTGACATCGGGACCTCCAGTAGGGTTAAACAACTGCATGGCACAAATGCAATCAAGAAAAGGGTCATATGAACAAGTACTACATGTATACATATCAGAAGATCAAATAAGATAAAACAAAGAACATTAAAACTATTAGGGTCTTCCATGATAACATACAAAATAAAACCTTTAGGGTCTTCTACGATAATATGTAGCAACTAAAAAGCAAAGCAACATACTCTATTGCAGTTTTTGAAAATAGACATTGCCATCTCATATTAACTAAATATCTGCAATCAATGCTGAGAATAAAACATTTAATGTGCCACCAAACAAACCAATGACAATGTTGTTTACTTAATCATAGACAAAAAAGGATATATAAATTTTGAGACAAAAATAACATCAAAAAGGATACTAATACAAACACCTATTACATATATATATATATATATATATATATGAACATTTGTAATATTTTGAGATAATGATTTGAATGTAAAAAAAAAAAAATTAAAGGTTAACAGAAAGCATAACAGAAATAATCAAAATAAAGCTAAATGATTTCAAATAAATGATTTCATTTAAACTTTTTTCATTGATTTCTTTTTGTACGCAAATACATAACATTTATTATAATTTGATCATATTGTCATTTAAATTACAAAATGTAATGTAATGTATTTATTTTTGGCTACTTCCCATTTTGTCCACACAAGTCAAAACTCTATATGATCTCTTATGCCTCTGCTATGCCGAATCTGTTCGATAACCAATCCACTTAATAATTTTCCTATATTTACGTGGACACTGGCGTATACCTAAAAACCGCCATAAAGGAAAAATAAGAAGAAGTCAAAACTTTTTAAAAATTTATTGTTCAAGTTGATGCAGTATAAATAAATCTGAACATAGTATGAACAGAATATAAACCTCATAGGGCTGCCTTCCAAACATACGCTTAAGAGATAATTACATACAAAAGAAGAAAAAACATGATTCAAATATATATCCAAAACTCTTTTTTTAAAGCTCTGTAACATCTTAAATTTATTCAAGTTAGTTACATCATGGTAGAATTTTTGTTAAAAACAAAACAATGATATAAATTTTTGATGCAATAACAGGTGAATATATTTCGGGTAAAAAGGGGCAATTGTTAACAATACATATCTTATCACAATCCTGTCAGAATAATCAATCTCCATCATTACTGATTTATCTCTTTAACAAATTGCATAAATAGTTAAATGTACTGTGAAGTACTACAAATTACAAAATACTTTCTAATTAAACAATATAGGTAGCAACATTCAGTTGATCAATAAAATTAATTACTTGATATTTAATAGTAATAGTCTGATATGAGATATACTATAATATTCTATAGCAATATAAACTTAATTGAAGTTAGCCATAATATAAATTGAAATGTAATTGTGATATACTACAAAAATAAGGAAAAATATGCACTAAGTGAACCAAGTTTCTTATTGCTTATTTTTTTTTTTATTTCTTTTATTGAAAAAAACTAATATCATTAAAACTTACAGTTGGGAGATTTTCACTCGGAGGACCGGGTCGCGTCATTTTGACTTCACTCTCACGGTGCACCACAAATCACTCGGTTATAACCACTCCCCGTTCATGGGATATTATCTGTAACAGAATAGCAACTTTTGTATCTATAAACAGGTACAGCACAAATTAACATTGCTCGCGAAGGCCCCAGCTCAGCTGTTTTACAACTCTTTACCTCGACATTGTGACGCGTGTGTTGTGTATAGTGCGCGGATGGAGAGTTGGAAACTGTGAATGAACAGATCGCGATATCAAGCCTAGTCGATTTGAAAACATGAAAGCAGTTTTTGTTTAGTTTAAACAACTTGACATTAGAATTTTCTGTGCAATAATCACAAACGCACAGATCACATATACAAATAAGAATGTAGTGGTGACAGTGACAGCTTGCCTTGTTTGCAGAGAATATTAAAAAATAATTTAGCATTACTATTGTTTATGTTTACGAGTTTAAATTATACTTTTAATTAAATAATATGAGGTAAAATAAGTTTAAGTTATAAAATTAGAACTTATTGTTTTAATCACATAAGAAGTGCATTATTATGTGTTCCGATCAGTATTTTTGAAAATAATTGTAATGATTGAATTATTAATTACTAATTATATATGCATTATTCAATTCTTCTAATCTTAAAATGTACATCCCGAAAAATCAATGAAAAAAATGTTTGCCCCCTGAAGGTAAATATTCTATTTCTCGCCGTAATAACTATTAGAGTGTAGAGATAAGGAGAAGAACTTCTGCGTATAAAAACTGTCCTTCGAAAGGCAACAAATTATTAGCGCTAGGGTAGCATGTGGGTAGTAGTGGTGATAAAATTAGTAGTTATTAGTCACTAAAACTCTGGTGTTATTTTCTACTGAACACAAAACAGTTTTTCAAGGCATCCTGGATATAAGATTGTCATCATCATCTCTACACTGCACAGAATTAAATAATAAAAACTTAAAGTACATACAGCATTATGATAGTTTGTTTTACACGAGTAAAAAAACAAACGAACAATCATCACCTTTTTATGTCTGTTTGTTTTAAATACTTATCCTTAATGTTTACTTGAAATAATAATGATCAAATAAAAATCCTATCTTTTGTAAAATAACACAGATATTCAACGAGAGTTCCATTCAAGGAATTGAATAGATTTTATTTTTAATTAAATCTTTATTGTCTGTGAAAATAAGGAATTTGCTGCAATAAATCATTTACATATCTTTTTTCTCCTTTACCCAGGCATGTAATAATATGAAGTTAAAATAACTAGCCAGTCTCAGTATGAGCACTGAGGGCCAGCAGGGATGTCGAGGTATGTTTTTTTTTATGAATTGGAGTTAGGTTACATTATAACACAAAAGAAGCTTTATATATAAATAATGATTTTATGAACAGTTGTGAATATACTTACATAAAAATGGTATATGTGGACGTATATTTCTCACAACCCAAAAGTAAAAATTTTCACCATATGAAATAATAAACATTAACGGTAGCTAATAAATAAAACATAACAGTTTTACTAAAATTGTTTGAAGTAATGACTCTTCATACGGTACTTCAATATTCCAATTTAAAGGAAGTATATTTTTTTAAGTATTTAGAATGATTCGTTACACTCCTGGTGCACTATGATAGTTCTTCTACTATGAAAGTGTAACATTGAATGATAACATATCGCAAATATGACACAATTATACTCCTAATGGGTATACAACTGCGGGCTAATATATCATAACTCACTGAACAAGATCAAACGGTACATTCAACAATGCTCTGGTTATTTCCAATGATTAACTGTTATGCATGGGACGTAACAATAAATATCTTTGGAAGTTTTCTACATAATTTAGCACATGACCGATGTTCATCACAGTTTACGAAACAGCCCAGGATATTTTCTGACCTATCCTAAGGGTTCTGCCAACCCAATACGAAAATTAAAAGTAAATTTTAAAATTGTATAATATATCGGTCGATCGTTTTTACGCATTATTGAAATAAGTATTGTCGCTATAAAATAAAACCAAAATAAAAGACTACAAATTTAGGCCAATTCAAATATTAAATAAATATAAATACTTTTGATATAGATATACTTTTCAAAAGCACATCGCGAAATCGTCTCTTTGACAAAAAATGATTGTTTCATGATAAAATGAAAATTTTCGACTATCTGGTATAGTCTACTGATTCGAACCTGCGACTTCTTGGTAACACGTCCAGATGCTCTAGCCCACTGTGACAATCTATTGACAAACAATTTTTATGCATTTTTAGCAATGCACATATGAAGGAAGTTTACCGTATGCCGACTCTCTCAGATTATTTTACTGCTAGCTGATACCCGTGACTTTGTCTGCCTTGCTTATAGTATTGGCAATGTATTTTATTTAACACGAGAAGAACACATGCATCACTGAACGAGAATGCGATAGGTATATACAGCGTGTCTTTACAATCGCGATAATAAATGAACACACATATAGAGGATAACTTTTTAAAATTATATTAAACATTTACATTCTTTAAACATTAATATTTACCGAGTTATTAAATTTTCCAAAACAAAGAATTTTAGAACACCCTTACGTATAAAACTGTAACGTAAAGTTCATTTGTAAAGGTCACAAAGCATATGAATGGGTTGAATGAATTTAAAAGAGACAAAACATACTGTTAGAAGGAGAGGCTTGTAATGCGACGCTGTGGCAACGAATGAAAAAGTCTCCGAATGTATGAATCAGTCAGTTGTAGTTGTATAGGTGTTACAAATTTTGTTTCTTTTTTACTTCATTAGTTTGTTTGAAAAATATTTTTTTTAACTATGGATTTTTTTAACATTAATATTTTTTATGATTATTGACAAGTAGCGTTAGACGTGTGTTCATTTATTGTCGCGATGGTAACGACACGCTGTATAAGACTGCTCTTAGCGAAGAAAAATCTTGGCCTAAAAATAGGCCAAACACGTAGAGACAATACAAAACATATTCAGTATAATATGGACGCTTAATTTCCAATGATGATAGGTAATTCTGGTAATAGGAGGCAACTACACCTATTTTCCCTGCCCCATTTTAAAAAGCCGCTGTCGTGTTTAATCATAAATTTTCATAAATCTTCAGAATTTCGATTGAGATGTACTGCAACATTTATTACTCATTAAAAATGTTATGATGTTTAAATAATTACGTAAAAGCCCTATTAATAAGTATTAAAAAAAATTGTAGTCCCACTCAACCACAGATTTCTAAGAAATATTTCATCATAATTTCATAAGAATCCACGTTAATATTGTAAGGATGGTTGAGATTTATCACAACTTGTGATCTTGTAAACACCACAAGACAGATACTACAAGTACAGTGCAATATACATAGAAGTGATATATCAAAATTTAAGTTCTTTATTGGAAAAAAATTCTTCTAAAACTAATTCCTGACAATCCCGATTCAGCACACTTTCTGTATTAATCGCATAATCAGCTATGATTGAACGACGCAGCGGGCTGCTTAGTACTATCAAGACAATCTGATTTAGGCCTCCCTTGCCCCTTTATTGGGGAAAATTAATTGATTATCGTCCTTCGTGACCCGCGCGATGAATGTCGTGGCTTTTGAATCACTTTGATCCAAATCATGGTATAGGACCTGAATTAAGAGACGTCTGGGGTCTCTTAATTCAGTTCCTTTTCGAAGCTGCAAGATGCTATTCAAATGTTGTAAAAAACACATTAAATAAAAAATTGAATGTGTCGTGGGAAGTGCTTACATTATTGTGCTTACATTTACATCTAAAAGGCTTCTCATAAATAAATATATGAAAATAAAGGCAATGATTGTACCAATAATAAATTGCATCATCGAATAATGTAATTTATTGGTACGCGCTGAAGCTCGGTACGAAATTGGAGGGCAATTTATCAAAACGCTCGACTATTCTGCTCCTACCTTATGTAATATCGCATACAGAATATACAACTAGATATATCTATTCGGACTATACCTGACTATATCCCTGACATTGTCTGCATCGATTTCGAAGTCTCCAACTTCATTCCTTAAGGATTGGAACTTTCAAATTACTCGTGCTTCTTAATGTTTTTCATGAATTCATTAGGGATTTCTACGTCAAACATCCTTTCTTGTTGCGTGTTTACGATTTAGAAGATCATACTTAAATAAATTCAAGATTCTATTGCTTCCAGCATTTAATAAACGGTCTTTAAATAATCTTTATTGCAGACAGATTCTGGTAAAGAAATACATTAAAAATAACAAATACCACGAAGTCGTGCGAAGCCGAGGTGGGTCGCTAGTATTTGATACTCGACGATTACAAGGAAGTATATATTTTTAATGTCTCATTCCCATTTTCAGCTATGTAAGTGACGTGATTGTATCAACAAAAGCTTCAAAAATCTTCGCGCTTTAGAATCTATGTTTATATCTGCTATGTGATCAGACTAATTATTGATTATATGATATTTACTATTAAGGAACTTGTAAGAGCGCTTAGATTTTGGTAGCAATAATTTTAAAAAGAAATCCCAGTACTTTTTAGAATTATGGTGAAATTTTATCATTAATTGTAGCATTCATAGAAATATCGCTGCGGCGCCGGCCGCGCCTTTTCCTAGTCCGCATTGACCTAAATTTTTTTAACCCGCTGTTTGTAGGGATCGGCGTTTACGACTTTTTTGAACGCTGGCGTTTGAACTACAAAAAAGTCGTTATACCATTCATGTGTGTGAATTTTCTATGCATGTGAAATTATAATGAGACTGTTGATAGTTAAGATAATTTACTTTTGATTTTATTGCAACCGTGACTAAAAATATCAATTTCCGAGCGACTACTTGACTTGTAAATCCGAGCTGAAGCAATATTATTTTTAATACATAGGAAGGAAACAAACTAAATCTATGTACGTGTAGGCAAATAAAGTCAAATTAATTTCTGATACATTTGAATGTAATAGAGCCGTGATAGCGCAGTATCCGGGCACT